GAGGAGGAGCTTCTTCCTTCTCTTCCTTCTCTTCTCCTCTTCTCTTCTTGCTTGGGTCCCTCTTTCAAGAGAAATGAGGGGTCTATTTATAGATTTTCTGGAGTGGCATGCCCCATAAATAGGTGAGAGATCAAGGGTAAATGGGGAGTGGTTGGATGGACGGCCGATATTGAACCCCTTGATCATGGACCGTTCGTCGGGCATTTGGAGGCCTTAGCCCTTAGTGATTTTAGAATTCGGTGATCTTGGGCTCGTTGGATTCATCTCGTCGAGCCGTTCGATTCGAGTATAAGCTCGTTAAAATCAGAGACCGTTTGGTAACTCAAATTGTGATTCGAACCTTCCAACAGCACTTCGAGTCTTTGATTTAGACTCATTTGGGCTTGGATCAAGTTGAATTTGGTGTCGTTGGGTTCGTATTTCCGAGACGCTAAGTTTGACTATAAGTTTGCTGAAATCGGAGTTCGGGAGCTCCGAGATTTAATTTTTGAAGTTACCGACTCCATTTTGCATCGAGATTCGTGCTCGATCAATATAATTTTTTGACGATGTATCAATGATATTTAGGATATTAGATTTGGGTGACACGTAATCAATTGACTTCAATCAGGCTTAACAACTCTAATTTCTAAAAATAATTGAAATTTAAAAATCATTTTTTAAAAAAATTGGAGCGCAATGGCACTAATCATTTGAACTCATTAGCGTTAGGCCTAGAGTGCAACAATGCTAGAAAATGCTATCGCGACATTGAAGCCTTTGTTTGTATAGTAATTTTGAATTTGACATGTAGTGATGCAACATTGACTAGTGGAGCTGCGGTGCTACCCACTAAAAATTATTATTTTTATTATAATTTTTCACTCATTGTCCTTCATGTCCCTAGGGTTGCAAAAGAGCCGAGTCGAGTATGTGCATATTCATATTTGAGTTCATTTATTATTAGCTTATTCAAATTTGATTTGAGTTTTTTTTTTTTGTTCAAATTTGATTCGTTTAAATTAATGAGTGTTCATGTTTGGTTCCTATTTGATTCATTTAATACATATCGAGCTTTAAACAAATAAGCCTTACCGAGCTATAAACGAGCTATACTTCTAAATGTACATTAAATTAACAAACGAGCTTTATTGAGCCTTTTAACAAACAATTACATCGAGCTTTATTCGTGAACATATCTAACAAAGTTTTTAAAACTATCAAACAAGCTCGTTCACAAACATATCTATAAGTAATTGTTTCTCTTCGCTCGACTAGGGCAGGAGGTTGGGACATGTAGGCAACCACAGGGCATGAATCAGAGGGAGCAGAGAATGGAGTTTCGATCCTCTGGAGCTTCGAATTTGGTGGGAAAATGAATAAGAGAGAGGAGTCAGAAGACAGAGAACAAATCAGAGGCTTCGACCTCTTATGTTTGTCGGGCCGTGAGGCTTTGACCACTGCGAGAATGACGACCTCTTCAACTTCGAATGCCGAAGGCTGCATGTGATTCGCCAATGCCAAAGATGAAAAGTTTGAAACTTCGGATGGATGGACAAACGATGCGAGATGGATCATATCAGGACAAAAATTTATTTTTTGGAGGGGTGATGGGCAGAATTCCAAAATTAACCGTTTGTTCATTAAAATTTTTTTAAGCTGTTGTTTTTCGTTGGCGTTAATATATAGTTTTGATTAAATATAGGAAAATTTCCATGTAGCTATTAGCTATAAATGCCGGACGCGAATTGGATGTGAAATAGAGCTGTGGAGCACGGTACTCGGATACGACCCGTTAAGAGTACCATAGAAACACGAAATGCCAGACCCACATTGGATGCAAAGAGCACGGTACTTGGATCCGATCTGTTAAAGTACCCGCACAAACACGATATAATATATCATTCGTTTCGTCAGGTTGCTCTCTCTCTCACGTGTTTCCTACCCTTCATCCTTGTTTCTCTCTGATCTCGCTTCGATGGCGCATCGGCTGCTCCGCGACGCTCAGGCCGACGGCTGGGAGCGCTCTGACTTCCCGATCATATGCGAGTCATGTCTCGGTGATAACCCCTACGTTCGAATGGTACGTATACTCGTCTCTTTCTTCTGCAAAGAATATTCAAATGTTGAGGCAAATCCCTGATGTGCGGCATCTGAACCTAAAACCTAACATTATAACTTCTTTTGCTTATCATAGATGATTAGTCTTGCTTTAGCTCAGATTTTTCCCTTCATTTTTGGAGGATCTTTGCTGTTGGAATCCTGCTTAACCTTTTAGTTTTTTATCTAATAGAGGGGCACAATCTCCTTTGTAATGAGATTGCTAACTGATTGCTTGTAATCACTATGTTTTTAACCGTTTAATTATGCGGTTCCATGCATCTGAGGCGAAAAGCTGAATCAGCCTTTCTGGTACTTTCACTACTGTATTTGATGGTTTCATAGAAGTTCGTGACGTGGAATGGATTAACTATTTGGGCTGATTGCTTGCAACTTTTGAGCAGGATTTCAGTTTGATTTAAACTAATCGTTCGAATAGGTTTACAAGGGAGACAGCTGAATTAAATTCTGAATTTAGCAGGATTTGATAAATCATTGTCTAGGTTTAAAGAAAAGCAGACCAACATCATTCAATAAATCTCTTTAAATACTCCAAATCTCAATCTGCAATCAATCAGTCCAAAGAGCTGGTTTGATTTAAGAATTCCAAAATCAAACAGTTTTACCTTCAGGATTTACTAAATCCCATTAAAACCTTTTTGAATAAGATTTATCAAATCTTGATTTATTAAATCCTGCATTTAACGAATCAGGCCCGAAGGTTCATAGTCAGTTTAAACGGCTAACCATTCCAGTGTGAAGAGCTTCATTAAATTTCTAAAATTTAAATTCTTCCTTTGATTTTCTTATGTGAGATCATACATTTAATCTTATATAACCATGCACTCGTCCTATTTCTATCTTTTGTGCAGACCATAGCGCACTATGACAAAGAGTGCAAAATTTGCACCAGGCCTTTCACGGTCTTCAGGTGGAGGCCAGGTCGTGATGCACGATTTAAGAAGACCGAGATTTGCCAGACTTGTAGTAAGCTAAAAAATGTATGCCAGGTTTGCCTCTTGGACCTGGAATATGGTTTGCCCGTACAGGTCCGCGATACAGCAATGGCTATAAATTCCAATGATGCCATCCCAAAGAGTGATGTCAATAGGGAATACTTTGCTGAAGAGCATGACCGGAGGGTATGTTGCGCAAGCTTTTTTCTCTCTTGGACTTTTTGTTTGGGCTTATTATTTAATAGTCTATTTCCCACAATGATTATTGTTCTTAAAGGAATAAAGGGTACCCAGAGTAATATTTTTTGGCACAGCACTATGTGTATAAAGCTGCTGCTCAACGTTTCAGTTTTGCATTTATTGCTTAGTTTTATTTTGTAGCTATAGGGTGGTTATTGTGCTTCATAGAATGCTTAGTGTTTGACTTATGGCTATGTGTCACTATTGTTTTGTCTTGTTGAAATGCAATGGGTGTGTATACTGGGTATGGATTGTGTTCTGTGACCATTGTTGATTTGGACTCTAGTTTAACATGATGCTTGTTTTATGTCACGTGTTCGATGATTTCTTCAGACTCTCTGATTTGCAATCAGGACCATATATATGATCTTGAAATCAACTGAGACAAGGGCTCTGAGGCTATTTCCAAAATGTTAATTTATGTCTGCTAATTATGTTTAAACTTAATTTAATGTCTCCCATGTTTTAGAAGCTTTACATTATAGATTGTGTTGCCTTCACTTTTTATGTATTAAAGGAGCAAGAAGCTGTTGATGCATGACTATGATATTAGCATGTGGTTTAACATACCTTTAATCTTACTTTTTCAATGATAATTTGTTTTAAGGCAGGCAATGTCTAATTGAAAGTGGTAGCATTCATCATTGTTATCATCATCATTAGCTATGTCCCAATCATTTAAGGTCGATTTTATGAATTATCTTTATTTTTTGTCTGTCAAGTGAATCAAGTGGTACTAAGCTTCTTTTTCACAAATCTCTTAAACAACTTCCATCCAATCGTCCATGTTGCCTTAGTTCCACCCTTCTTCCTTCTTGATTCTCCCGACCTTTATTTTATTTGTAAGATGCCTTCTATTTGATTCAGTAGATAATGAATTTCCATTGTGATTTGTAAAACAACAGCAATAGTGTTGACTTTGTAAAAATTTCCACATCCACATTAATTACTATTTTTCTCATTGATTGTTTGTTTTCCTTTTAGTTTTAACCGTCCCCTTGAATCCTTCCATGCTTCAATGATTGTAGTGTCCTTTGCATCGCCTACATTTTGTTGTTCTATTTCTTTATGATCTTTATGTTCTATTTTGGTTGACTAGACAAGTTCCATCTATTCATTTGGTAGTTGTGATTGGTCCATAAGGTTGTTGGAGGCCTATGAAGTTAATGTAGTGTTGTTGAATCCCGTTTTGTCCAGTGTATGATACTAGGTTGTACTTCATTCCACCTATGGACTGAGAGTATGTGGGGAGAATGTAATGAAGTTTGAGTACGATGGAAAAAGAGAGAACATGGGAGATAATATGGATCTCGACAAATTCTTTATTATCCAAGCCAGAGATTCAAGAATAATGAAAATGAGAGCTCTAAACCATAGAGCTTTAAGCTAGGAAAATGAGAATGAAATAACATCTATCTTCTTTTGTGGGTTTAATCATGTATTCTCTTGTGTGTTCCTTTTTTGCTTCATTCACTTCTCTTGAGTATCCTCCTTTTTATAGGGTTGAAAAGGTACATATATTATGTTCTGGGTATGGTGGCTACCCCATTAGTCTTTATTGTAACTCGATCGTCGGTGCCAAATGGGATGGTGATTGAGAAGTGTGAGCCGAGCGAGCTTATGGACACCAGTCGACATGAGTTGGAAGCTGGTCCAGGATCTACTATTGAGATTAAAAGGGGCGAATATCATCAAAGTGTGGTAAAGAGAATAGACAGGCATGGAAAGTCGATATGAGGTCGCCTCGTTAAGGTGAGAAGGGGCGAGTAGCATCTTGATGGGGCTTTCATGTCAACCCAGTTCTAAGGGTTGTTTGTAGAGGCGGCATGTGAGCCATTAGCTGTTTGATGTATCTTGCATGAGTGTCTTGTCTCTGGCCGAGATGAATATAGATTTTCTTGAATGAGAGAGTAACTTCTGAGCCCTACCTCATCGGGCGGAGGGCGATTGCCTGAAAGAGGTAGCTGGTGTTGGTCCGCAGTGCTCTAGTGTTAAGCTCCTTCCCAGCTCTTGAGTGAGTCCGTCGAACAAACTATTCCGAGAAAGGAGTGGATCCTTATTCTGCTCGACTTGAATCTAACTTGCAAATGGGTTCCTGCATAGATAGTTATGGGTGCACAAACGTGACACCCATTTTAGCAAAAAGCATTAATGACAAAGAGCGGAATTTGAAAATTATATTTAGTAATCTTTTACAATTCCAATTAGCAACAACAGTTGCCACTCTATGAACTGTGAAGCTACTCATGGAACATTAATTTTGTCTCCATTGTTAAACTTATTAGTTATCCGCTTCTTTCCTTCTCCACTCTCCAGATTTTAGGGTAAAGCGTTGTACAAGAAATATTGATCTGTTTACACTTTACAGTAGGAGTTGTTACCATCCTTTCTTAGTAAACTATTTATACCATCCTTTTGTTCCTAGTAAACTTTTTAGATCCATCCAATTAGATTTCCAAGTCTTGAGTGACTTCTGTATTTGCTTTTTTTCTCTTAAAGCTAGGCACTTGCTGCCATGAGGCAAGTATGTGGTTTATTAAGATAGATACATGGTGTCGTATATGGCTGATAATGTGTAGATAACCAGTATGGCAGAACTTATTTTTCTTTTCATATAGATTGGTTATTACATTTAATTAACCATCCACCAAGCATTACAGGTTAAATGCTATCAGATGATACCTATGTTGGTGGGGGGATATTATTAACGGGTTGATGATATCATACGTATTTTACCCAAGTTGTCAATATGCTGTGTCAATTGAGTATTTTTTTTCTTTTTAAGTTCAAACCACTTAGTGAAAAGCAAAGCGATGCTTAGATTTCCGCAAGCAAATTCCTTATATTATTAATGCATGTTACAAAAACTCCAAAAAAAAAAAGTCAAATTAATTTTATATAAAATAAAACTACATTATGATGCCAAGTTAGGTAGAATATTGAAATTATTGAGATGTTAGGACTAAAGATGATGCAATGTACAAGAAGCACTTGACATTTAAAGGACAGGCCTGTGGTGTCACTTAATTGATTCTACCCTTGTGCTAGCTAGGTTTAGCTTAATAAACTATTTGAGCAAAATTTGATGAGCTAATGAGTCAAATTTGATCTAGCCTCGACTTGACTTATTAACTTGTGAGTGGACACATTTTAAAAATATTAATATAAAATACATAGAAAAATGTTAAAATGCATGGGTTTTAATATACATTTATTAGAAATAATTTAAAAATCTTTCTTTGCTCTTTCAATTAGTTTCTCAGTATTTCTTTTTAATTTCTCATTCTTTTTGTCTTTTAACACTGCCGTTGCCAGGTCCCAAGTCCTGGATGAGAAAAGTGGATGGTTGCGTTAGGTAGTCGACAGCCAGCGTAAAACTTGTCGAACAATAATGACATGAATCCTTTAAGAAATTGTGTTAATGTTAGGGCGTCCCCTGGAAGCGACGCGTTGTATGGCCTGAATACTTGAAACTTTGATCATTTTCTTTTTTATCCAAAATAAATTAGCCAAATCAAGATAGACTTTAGTTTATAGAATTGAGATCGAGCTTGAATTCATTTAATTTGTCGAGCTTAATCTGAGAAAGCTTGGCTCAAATTTTTTACTCCTTACCTTCTATTTTTATACGTAATGGATTTAATTTATAGAAATAGCTCTTTTGTAATGGATGGATAAAGCTATATACATAAACCCTTTCCTAAGTTCGACTTGTAGAGATGATAGAGTATGTTTATTTGAAAGTTTAACTTGCCTACAATTGCTGTCTTCATAAAAAATGTTGAAAAAAAGAAATGTATATAAATACCATATAGCAAGCAAGCCAATATCAATGATGAAGAAATAGCGAATCTATATTTTGATACAGTTTCTTTTTTTCATGAAAAACACCTAGCGGTTAAAAACTTACATTACTAATAATATAAATAGCAATGGAGATAAATAATCAGGCAATTCAATTTTTAATGATGAAGAATTAGATAATCTATAATTTGACCTATGTTTCTTTTTTCATTAAAAACACCTGGTGTTTAAAAAGAAACAATAATAAAAAATAATGGTAATGGAGGTAAATAAAGAAATAATAATAATATCTTCAGCAAGAAAATATGATGAAAATCTTGTAAATGACCCAAAGTTAAAAAATAAAAGCTTGTTTTCATCTTTATTTTATTTTATTTCCCTTCTTGTCAGCATTGATTGTGAAAACTTCTAGTTCCTCTCTGCAATAAAGTCATAATTAAGGTAATGAAGGGCGGCAAGGTGTCTGTGAACATTCTAGTAGTTAGAACCAACCAATCTAGAATCTACAAGGGAAGATGTAGTTATGATCTTCCAATTTCTTTGCTCCCTTCTCAATATTGCTGAGCCCACCAACCTCAAATTTGGCATCATCTTTGACAATAATGTTCTGCTCTTCACCTTGTCCTTCAATCTCTTTTGCATGATTTGCAACACCCGTGAGGTTCTGTCCATGATCGACATTTCCTCTCTTTAGGCAACAACATCTAGTTCTCTCCATCATCTTGAATGGAAAATATAATTGAGTCACTTTAATAAAAAATATTTAGGGTTATATGTATATTTTCAAACAATATGAATTTATGTGCCAATTATGATAAACCAATATGGGTAACATATAATTAACTCTTACATTAAATTAGTTGATAGAATTTTTAGGAGTTATCTAAGTTTTGATTCAAAATAGCTTAATTTTATCCTATAACCCTTAATATTGTAAGTTTTGAGTAGTTATTTAGATTACTTAATAATGAATAAATATGGTTATCTTTCCCTTGAATGTATTCTCTCTCTTCATTCTTTCTTGCATCATAGAAAACTGAGGTTTTGAACTCTCTTATCTTTATCCACCTACAATTTTCTCTCTTTAGCCATATTGTATATTGATAGAAATAACTTGAATTCTCTCTCCCACATGCACCCCAATGCAGATTGAAAAAGTATATTTCTCTCTTTTGGCATGAATCCCAAAGCTTTCTTATGAGTTTAAGGAAGAATGCAAATTTGTGAGAAAAAATTGAAAAGAAAGAAGAAATTCATCATTATGGATCCATCAATTTGACATCAAATCATTTCTTCTTATCCATCAATCTGGCATCTGAGCTGAATTTATTGATGGTATTTGTATCTAAATCTTAGCCACTCATATTCATCCCCCTATTCCACTCCACCATGTCATCTATAAAGTTGAGTGAGTATGTAAGATGCATCAGTTATGTTTAGAAAATACATCACAGTCATAAAAATTTTCATGTAGATCTATGAAGTTTTTGTTAATATTATGGATATAATTTAGATATCAAACATTATGTGATGTTGATATAAGTTTGCCCCATAATAATTGGTCAGAATATTGCTTAAAGATGCTAGATGAGTTGTTGAGGAACAACATAATTATTATGCGTATGACTCATAATTACATTGAATCATATTATTAGTGTGGCTATATTTAAATTATCGACTATTATTTAGATATTAAAAACTAATTTCAAGACATATGAAGATTGAGGTATATGAACGCTATCAATATTCTTGTGATGACTACATGATGATTATGGATGCAATCTTTTCAATTTTCAAAGACACTTCGCATAATGATAGATATGTTATGCATCAATTTTTTAAACTTTAAAGGGTTAGAAACCTATATCAATTATGGATGCGCAAGCATCTGTATATTTTATAACTATTCAAAAATATTATCCTTGTATTGATTTTGTCCGTGAAGATGATTATTTTGATAATTTAATTTTTGCATATGAACTTGATGATGATGATTAATCATCTATAATCAAACCTCTTGTTGAACAAAAACTAAGGTTATAACTTCTATTCTTGAGCCTAAATCATGGATCGTGCTAATTTTTTATTGAGATTGAGAGGTTTTCTGTCATTATTTTATTGATATGATGAAACAAGTTAATCAACAGATTATGATATTATTGTAAGGTGCTTATCGAGATATGTAGGTTGATCCACATGTTCCAAAATTTTGGCACTTCTTCATTAAAAGAACATATTGAGTTTGTGTTATCACTTCTATAATTACTATGTAACTATTAGATTTGTATGATATTGTTATAAGAAAGATGCATAATGTATGTAAATGTTTGGATTTAAAGCTTCTAGATTCTACTTCTTATGTTCAAACTTTTGATTGCACCTTCTGATATAGGAGATGCCCATGAACGGCTCCACAGCCTCATCCACCAAGAAGACCAAACTTCTAAGAAAGGATTTCTGCATAATTCTTCAAGAGAAGAGTTTTGTTTCCTTCAGGGGAATTGATGCAATTTAAGAAAAATATTTCAGAAATATCTTGATATTTTTAGTTATCTCTGGATTTTTCTTTCAATTTTATTTAATTTGATTGTTAGGATTATCATTATTTTAAATTAGACGATAGAATCTTTAGTAGTTATTTATATTATAATTAAATTTGAAATTAATAGTAGTTTGATTTTATTTGATTCTGTTATAAGACAAACGTACAATGCACGTAGACATTTGGATTTGAAGCCTGTAGATTCTACTTCTTATATTCAAACTTTAGACTACACCTACTGATACAAGAGATGCCTATGAACTAGCTCCATTGTCTCGTCCATTGTGAAGACCCGATTTCTAAGAAAGAGTTTGGGCATAATTCTTAAGATAAGATTTCTATAAGCCTTAGGGGAATTTAATTTGATTATTAGGATTATTATTATTTTAATTCAGATGATAGAATTTTTAGGAGTTATTTATATTTGAATTAAATTTGAATTTAAATTAGATTGATTTTAACTTTTAACTCTATTTCTTTAACTATGATTTAAATGATTCGATTATATATATATATATAGATAGATAGATACACACACACACAGTCTTATAGTGTATTGAAAGAGACTTTTTTTATTCGAATCTGTGGCATCATTGATACTCTCTTTTTTATGAAATTTGTATTATATATAGGTGCAATTGGTTGGAACTTCTTAGGGAAACAAAATTTAGGCATACTTCGTGGAATCATGGTATGTTGTCATGGTTTCAGGTTTAATCCGCTGTCATGTTATGTATTAAGTTTGCTATTTGAAAACATTTCCAGTGTAAGTACCAACCATATAAAATAACCAATTCATAAACATTTGTGACTAAATTCTCATGCCATCAGGTCTTTGGAGCGTAGTATGACCTCAAGTTGATAATTGTTTCACATCGTTAACATGAACACACAACACATTTCATGCCTTTGATTTTCTTTATTTGGCCGAGTAATTTTTTGGGTATGTGTACCCGTGTTATATCATTTGGAGTGAATGAATCATAATGTTTTGAAGTTTCTGTTTGTAATGATACCAGATGCAAGTTTGTGGATTCGCAGCAGCACCAATTGATTTATTTTTACTAAATCTATTCTTTTGAAATCTTTTCAGTCTTTTAACTAGGGTGAGCTGTTCTGTAATATCACATTCATTTTACTTCTTGTTTATGTTGACCATACTGTTGAAATTGCACCCACATACATGCAGAACATGAACATCAACATCATCAAGCCTTTATCCCACTACGTGGGGTCGGCTACATGAATCCTTTTTCTCCATTGTGTCCTATTAAAAGTCAAATTCTCATTTAAATCTAATAAAGAAAGGTCATTCCTAATATTTTCTAACCTAGTCTTTTTAGGTCTACCCCTACCTTTCTTAACACAAGTCAAATCTAATACCTCTACTCTCCTAACCGGGTCATCGGAAGGCCGCCTTTTTATGTGACCAAACCATCTAAGGCGACTCTCTCTAATCTTATCTTCTACTTGAGCTACTCCAACCTTTTCACATATATGCTCATTTCGTATCCTATCTCTAAGGGTAAAGCCACTCATCCACCTGAGCATCCACATTTCTGCCACACTTAACTTTGTATTATAATCCCACTACCAACCCCTCCATATATAGTATCGTCAATTAACTTTATTAAATGTATTTATTTTGTTCATTTACAGGCAAGAGCTGGAATAGACTATGATTCTTCATATGGGAAGATACGTCCAAATGATACCATTTTAAAGCTTCAAAGGACTACACCATATTACAAGAGAAATCGGGCTCATGTTTGCAGTTTCTATGTGCGTGGAGAATGCACTCGAGGTGCTGAATGCCCTTACCGGCATGAAATGCCTGTAACTGGAGAGCTTTCACAACAAAACATTAAGGATCGATATTATGGGTATGTATGCGTACTAACTCAGTCCTTTTTAATCGCCATTTGCCACTTTTCCATTGGGCATTGTGTTTCTTTAACGCTGACATTATCAGATAAAATGATATTCATCCAAAGGTTTATTGATTGGGTTTTGTGGGCTGATTGTTTTTGTGTGTGTGTGTAGGTTTGTGACAATTGCATGCAAAATTTGTTTTACTTTATGAAATGTTGATTCGTATATATTGTACTCAGCCATCCCTTTGGCTTTTGCATTCTAAGGGCCTGTTCGGATTAGGGGTGTCAATTTCGGGTTACGGGTCGGGTTCGGGTAGAACCCAAAATTGACCCAACACTATTCGGGTCAACCCTAACCCGACCCGTTTTTCATAAGGGTCGGTTTTCCGGACCCGAACCCGACCCACTTCGGGTTCGGGTCAACTCGACCCGACCCACTTCGACAACGACAGCAGGCATCGAGGTTCAGCAGCCGCCAGCGGGCAGCGACGTTCGGCAACAGGGTGAGATGGCACGGCAGACGAGCACGAGGCGATGCGACGCGAACGCGATAGCCCAGCTCGATGCACGCGATGGCGCGACCAGTTGGCCCAGATCGATGCACGCGATGGCGCGGCGGCCCCAATGCGACGCGAACGGATCGAGCTCGGCAGACGAGGCTATGCGACAACGTCACGACGCGATGGCAAGATGGCGCGGCAGCTAGCTCGATGCACGCGGGTAGGCGGGCAGACCGTGGCAGACGGGGCAAGCTGGGCAGGCAACGCTGGCAGTGGTTTTTCCTGGTCATTTCGGGTGGATCCCGGGTTTCCGGGTCAACCCGAACCCGACCCGATTTTACAAACGGGTCGGTTTTTCAGACCCGAACCCGACCCGCTTCGGGTTCGGGTCAACCCAAACCCGAAATTTTTGGGTTAGGTCCAATATTGACAGGTCTAGTTCGGATGCCACTAAGATTTAATTTAAGTATGATTTTGTAAATCCTCTAAATCCGAATTTACTAAATTCTGATGGTGTTAAATCCTTAAAATCGTTTGGCAAGAAGTATGTTAAATCGTTATAAATCCCATGTGGAATATACACGTGTCCGCAGAATTTTAAGTGAAGCGCGTCAAAAAACACATGTAAAGCGCAGTCAAAGTGCAGTCAAAGCACAGTAAAAATGCAGTCAAAGCACAGTCCAGGTGGCAAAAAAAAACGCAGTCAAAGCGCAGTCCACATGGCAAGTAATTGAATGTCCGGTGACGGGCAAATTATTGCATCAGGTCACCTGACGAAGAGATCCGTTCGGATCTCTCTTTGTCTACAGTAAAGCACAAGTGTGCTACAGTAACCTGCACTTTACTGTAGACAGAGAGGATCCGAACGGATCTCTCCGTCAGGTGACCTGATGCTGTAATTTGCCCTGGTGACGGGACCTAATTATTTACCCTGATTTACAGCACTTTCCAGATCATAATATTTTGCATGCGAGAAATAATTAGCACCCACTTTGATCTCTTGCTTATTGATTTCATCTCCATTACTGCAGTGTCAATGATCCCGTCGCCCTCAAACTCCTCGGAAAGGCCGGCGAGATGTCATCTCTAGCTCCACCTGATGACGAGACCATAAAAACCCTTTATGTCGGCGGTCTCGACGCCCGAATCACCGAGCAAGATCTGCGGGACAATTTCTATGCCTGCGGAGAGATCGAATCCATTAGAATGGTCTCCCAACGCGCTTGCGCCTTCGTCTCCTACACCACCAGGGAAGGAGCCGAGAAAGCTGCGGAGGAGCTCTCGAACAAGCTTGTTATTAAGGGCCTCCGCCTAAAACTAATGTGGGGGAAGCCCCAGGCACCAAAGTTAGAAACGGAGCCAGGCGACGACGAAGCTTCTCACCAAGGACTCGTCGTCGCCCATGGCGGCTTACTCCCAAGGTCAGTTATATCGCAGCAGCAGCAGAGCAGCCAGCCGTTGCCTCTTCATTACTTCAACATTCCGCCTCCTCCATTGCCGTCGGAGAGGAGCTTCTACCCTTCGATGGATCCGCAGAGGATGGGAGCGATGGTGCCTTTGTCTCAGGAGTCGAGCAATGGCAAGACTGAATTAGAGAGGCCTCCCCTACATATGAAAGGTCAGTACCCACCTTACTATCCACCTTATGCTTATATGGCACCTCCTCCTCCACCTCAGTATCAACAGCAGCAATACCACCACCCATTTCATCAGATGACAGCACCTCGGCCGCCACCGCCATTGTCGGCTGCTCTGCAACTCCAGCCTTCAGGAGCTGATTTAGCTTCATCATCACATGGTTGATCTTTTGTGTTTTTGCTATTGCAGAGTTGGCTGGGAAGATTTTTTTTGTCTATTCTGGAATGATATATCTTGAAAAAGGCTTCTATGGAAATTCAGTTTTAGATTATTTTGAAGGGAAAAGGTACATTTGCCTTCAAATTATTGTTGCCCAGTTTTTTTTTTTCCTTTGGCCCTTGCTATCAGCATGCTCTTTGTTTAGATTCAATTTCTCTTATTCTTGCAAGAACTCCTCACATGCAAAAAATAAGTTTTTTAACATTTACAAGAACTCGCAACATGCATTATGAGTTCTCTAACTCTTGCAAGAACTCGCATTACAAATTATGTAAAAGAAATCAAAATGAATAAAAAAAAATGAATTTACAGAAATCTTAAATCCACAAGATTGTAAACAATATGATTTTCATAAGATTAATAAAATATACTTTGATTCATGTTGAATTCTGAATTACGATTACTCTTCCTTTTCCCTTTCACTTTTTTCTTTCATTAGTTAATTCTCTATAGAACAAATTAACTTTCCATAATGAGAGAGAAAGATGACTGGTAGTTATTTCTTGTGGATTAGTTATAATAATCGATCATAGAAGTTATTTAATCAAATTAATTATTGCGACGTCTCGCATAATTATTATATTTAATTATTCTAACATTTTAGGGTTTTAGCATAAATCCAGAGATGCTAGTGTATAAATTGCAGCTGAGAGAGAGAGAGACCTTCTCAGTTAATTTATGGATTAGTTTCGAAAGAGCAGCTTTGTTTTGATTTCAGTTCAATAATATTAGCTAACATCATCTTAAGTAATATGAATCAGACGGCTTCTGCGTACTGCAAGAAATAATAAATAAAATATCCCCTTTATTTTATTTTACACGAAGTCGGATGCTATAAATGGGGCAAATCGGGCAGAACAAAGGGCTCATCTTCCAGAGCCCAAAAGGCCTGTAATTGTTGATTGGGCTGGATCTGATTGTGCTGCTGATGCTGAAAGTTCTGAATGATGGCGATCTGGGCTCGCGTCATTTGAAGCTCATTCTGGGCCTTACTGATCTCGTGCTGTAGATGGGCTATTATGGCGTTGCTGCCGTATACTGGGTCTTGTACGCGCCAGTAAGCTTCCCAAGCCATTGCGTCTGCTGCCTGGGCCCGTTTATGGACCGGAAGGTGCTGAAGGAACAAACACAAGGAATGAACATTGAGATATTTAATCCACCAACATGGGCAAAATATAACTCATTTTTTTTTTTTTAAGGATTTTCAAATAAAGTTAACAATCATTATATTTCAAAAGGAAAAAAAAAAATATTTTTATATAATTTATATAAGATGAGCTTACAATATATTAAATTTAGTATAAGATTAATATTATATATAAAAATTTTATATTATGCTAATCTTTTTTTTTTTTCTCTGAAACAGTGGTATCTACCCACAGACACTCCAAAGGGAGTGCTTGGCGGCATAATTAAGCCCATCCACCAGCATTGAGCTCACACTTGCTTTGCCCCACTGAAGAGGCGAAGCAGTAGTAGAGGGGATTCGAATCCGGAATGGGAGGTTCTAAATCGTGTTCGCCCACCAACCACCCTAAGCCTCGGTGGGTCAAATCTTAAAAAAATAAATTAAATAATTTTCGAATTATCAGCTTATTCTAAGTCAATTTTGGTTCCTTTCAAAATTCTTGTAGAGTGGATATTCAAAATGATGATACTAAATTAACATAAGAAAGAAAAAAAAAATCGTAAGAAGCATATATACTACCTGAAGCATCCTGGCTATATTACTGGCCCCAAAGATCTTATGAACACAAGCAAATCTGTGAGGATTAGAAGGATGAAAATAGGGAGCCAGAATACAATCCTCCGAGCATCTTCTCCTTAAGTACTTGCAAGCTGCGCATCTCCTTCCTCCATTAATACTGGACATATCTTCTTTACTCAGATTTGGATTTTCCTCTAATCCTTTACAAAATCCTGTAAAGATTTAGATGCAGAAACGAAGAAGATTTGTTTCGATTTCTTCCCTTTGGAGAGAGCACCGTTGATATAGCATTGGAGAGCAGTATTATGGAAAGCCTAACGGCTAGTAAAAAATTGAACGAGCTTGTCTTATTGAGGTGGAGGGAATGGAAGGTTTTCTAGCTAGCCTGTGGCGATCCTGGTTTCAAAATTCTTGCTTTATTAAGTGATTTTTTATATGAAATAAAATGATGGGAAATAAAAGGAAATAAAATGATGGTACAGATGTAAATATGTAATATCTATTGTTTTACAGGCTAGAATTCTTCTTTTTTATTTAGTCATTCGAGCCTGTGTATTTTGAAGTGAAAATCTTCTTATATTTCTCAAAGATAAAGATGCTAAACATATTCTTTAATAAGTGATAGGATCTCTCAATCAATATCTCTAAATAGATATGAATATATAGATATGGGCACAAGTTTTAATTTTTAATAAAATAAAAATATATATGTAAATTTGTTTTTTTGTTTGGGGAAATTTGGGGCATAGCCCATTTTATTAATCACAAATAAAAGGATCAACATAAAGGTCCAAACTGATATAGAAAAAATAAAAAAGAAAAATACAACCATATCCAATCATTCTATAACAAGCATAGAATGAATAAAACCAAACCAATACCTATAGAAAACTAAGAATTAAAGCAATTGTAGAATAAAGGACAATAGAGAAGATAGCATCAGACTTATCCATCCAAGCACAAAGATGTAAATTTGTTAATTTGCTATTGCAAATATTCAATAACAAACTATCCATTGATTTAGTAATAAATTTTTTTTATTGCATGTATTGAGCTTTTGTGACTGATTTTGATTGCAAATTGGTCACAAAATTCTCTATAGCTTTGACCTTAGTGGTGAACGAAGGAAATCACCAATTAGGGGTGTTAAAATTAGATTTCGCTTCGGGTTCGGGTCTAACCCGGAACTGACCTGACTTCAAATGGGTCGGCCCTAATCAGACACGATTTTATAAATGGCTATGAATTTCATACCCGGACCCGACCCGTCGGGTTACTGAGTTGACCCGACCCCACACGACTGGACTGCTAGACGGCGACAGCGGGATGGCGGACGGCGAGGCTCGGGTCGACAGCGGGACGTTTGCGAAACGGGTTGACCCTAACCTGAAATTTTCAAACCTGTCGAATCCGGGAACTCGAACCCGACCCATTTGCGAAACGAATTAACCCTAACTAGAGATTTTTAGGTTTGATTCAAGTTGGGTTTTCGGACCGTTTCAAATATTGACACCCCTATCACCAACAAAAAATTTTATGCAGCTAGCTAGTTGCTAGTTGCTACTGCCAATCATCATCACAGTCACTCGTTATAATTGCTTGAAGTGGAAGGGGTCGTGGCCGTTGGGGCTAGAGAGATGGCGTGAGAGGGTGGAGTGAAGGGTGTCACCAATATAATAAAAGTAGCTTTATTAAAATTATAAAAAATTACAATTTAAAATAACATACACAAATCTTCCCGGTACACTTGGTGGAATTATTCTCATAATCTTAAGTTGATTTATGTAAGAAGTTTATTCATTTTATTAAATTTCTTATATAATCTAAAAGTTCTTGCTAAGTTGATAAATATTATGTTATAAATTAAAACGATTTAAATGGATCCAAACAGATATTAAATTAATGATTATGAAACACGTGTTCCACAATTTACTTTGGATTCACAGGGTGGGTACCATCAATTTCAATGGGTGATCATTTGAATATAGTAGAGATTGCACATATTATTTAGACAAATAAGTATTGCAGTTCCGTTTGCCTTGGAGAAAATATGGATCTCATTATCATGGAAGACATTCTTAGTCTCCTCCGAATTGGTCAAGGACGCTCATTATCTTTTTGAAAGGAATTATTAACTCCTATTTCATTTTCATAGATTTGAGAAAGCTAACTTGCAAAAAAAAAAAAAAAAAAAAAAAAAAAAAATTTTAGGTTTTTTTTGGGACTTTTTTCTTATTATTTTTTAAAATAACTTTTAAATACACAAAAAATTTGTGTTTCAAAATTTTATACTATAAAGCTATTTTAAAAAGTAGTAAAAAAGTTGTTCTAAATAAAGCCTTAATAAATATGTTGTGCTAGTTATGAATACAATACTTTAGATGATAATACTTTGTCATAATAGTCCAATACTAAATTATTTTTTGCCTAATCTGGAAATAAACTTACATAATAGATCATTAATCATAACTCTAAGGTTTCATTTGGGACATGTTTATTACTATTTTATTTTTCAGATCATAGCCATAATTTCTATTTAAGCCCTGCTTTTTTACTGCTTTCTAAACTTTTTTTGTACTAGGAAACTGTTTTATGCAATGACTTTAAAAAATTACTTTTTCTATAACAACTTAAAAATATAGTAAGAAAATCATTTCAAAAGAAGCTTAAGGCTTTGTTTACTGCTTCTTAAAGCAGTTTTTTAGTACAAAAATTTTTGTTGCTTTAAGAATCAATAAGAAAGCTATCCCAAACGAAGCCTAAATCTTTTTTTACTACTTTGTTAAAACTAATAGTAATCTTTAATATAGCATAATATTTTATATTTTATATTTAGTCATTCATATAAATAAATAAATAATGTGTTAGTGACATCAGCCCAATTAATGGGCTACCGTTCATGAGCATTCACAAAGTCAAAGTTGAAAAAATGATCCAAATTATAAAGAATGACACAACTTATTGACAATATTAAAGATATAAAGTGATGGATTAATCAAAATCACTTATTTAGCCACTATGTAGAATAGTTTTCTTTGCTGAAAGCAACGAAATAAAAATTTATAAAAATACTAAATAAAATTGTTACAAATACCAAAAAAACAAAAAAAAAAAGAGCACAACATATGGCACAAATTGTCAAAAATAAGCATGATTGAAAACTAATGCTAGCAGCCCAAATTTTACTTGTTTGCCACTTTTGTCAATGCATGCTTAATAGGCAATGGGTGGGTATTAGATTGGACATTGAGAGTTCAATGAAGGTAGTCATTCCAAATCAATGAATTAGGGGTTTTGGAATTAATATATAGCATGAACATATAATATTTATTTTGATGCTATTATCAAATTATGAATTTTCATGATAAAATATTGATAGATAAAGCACTAGAACATATGTTTGGATGCAATATATTAATGTTGATTGAAGACTAGGAGGCTCAAGATTATATCTGAAAGTTTATTAGATAGCTAGGCGGCCATGGTCTTCAGAATACATTTTGGATTGTACTAAGAGTAGGGATTCACACATAGGCCCCCATGTAAATGCAATATGGTGATCATTTCTTGCTTTTGTCTAGGAACCCTAAGTGACTTAAAGGAAGGGAGATTCCGAACTTACTGGGAAGCAGAGATTTAAAATCATGTCCTTGAATGCATGATATATGCTGTATTTTAATGTTTTAAGCTAAGAGTCTTTGGAGATTTAAAATTATAAAGATTTATTTATCCATTTGAAAGAGGGGATTCAATTTTCATCCATATAATATATATTATATACATATATTCTAATGCTTTAATATCGTTGCCCTGAAAAACTAGATAAAACGTATGGTCCTAATTTTATCCATATGTTCTAATTCAAAATTAGGTTCTTCATAGACAAGGTCCATGACTAGCATTCTTATGTTGTTTTGGTTGAGAACCTTCGAGGCTAAGTAGTAGTGAGGTTCTTGAATGTATTCAATAATAACTATTTAGAATCAAGTATACATCAAATGTGATTTTTGCATCTTGTTATGATCTAAACTAGGAGCATTAAAAGGTTATGAGGCATGGATGAGTTTGAAATCATCCAAGAGTAAAGATTATTCAAAATTAATTGCATTAAAGATGGTCTATGATGATTTAAGTTGTGAGCCTTAAGAATTAGAAGTCTAGGATTATTTAAATCCATAGAGTAATAAATTAAATTAGGTTCTTATAAATAGGAACTCCAGATATTTTAAAGTTCTAGTCATGGAGCACTTTTAGAATAAAAGATATGAAAAGCCCTAAATAGGTGTTAGTTTTTATCTAAAGGCTTCTATAAATGTTTGATTAATGAGATCTATTTAAAAATAATTTGAAGTAGGTGTACAAACACTGGCTGATCCCGCTAGTTAATCCAAATTTAAAAGCTCACACATAGCGGTTTCCACTTCATAGCTTGTCAATACAAAATAACATTAAACCAACTCTTGTGATAAAGTGATCAAGGCTTTGTTTGAGACAATTTTCTTACTACTTTCTAAAATGGCTTTAGTACAAAAGAATTCATTTCAAGAAATTTTTGTACTAAAAAGTCACTTTAGAAAACAGTAAGGCTTCGTTTGGTTATCCCTTAACTTTGTTAAAGGTAGTTTAAAAAACATTGGTGGAGCAAATGGAGTTCTCAAACGGAGAAGCATATGTCAAAAAACTTACCAAAACAGTAAAAAAAAAATGACAGTTCTGCAAAAAACATTTCCACATAAGCGGCATATTCAAACAACGACAAATGTTGTTTCCAAATGGAGAAGGAGAAATAAGCCGCGTCAAATGAGGCCTAAGAAAGCTGTCCTAAACGAAGCCTAAATTATGTGAAGTTAGACTTTTGTCTATATGATAGTGATAATATAATGATTTATTTGTGAGGGATGCAAATAAAAAGTCATAAGTTTGTTGCATACAAACTCATGATCTATAAAGAAAAGAAATGTGAAGACATTTTCATCAATATTTTGATCACAATGAATCATTGTACTTCATGAATAATTTATGAACAGTAAATATGCCGCTCATTCCTACACCTCAATGTTGTGGATTAGTCATTCTTAATTAATCCATTGACATATAATCAGATATATTTAATGAGCCATAGCTCATAAGAATTTTCTGATAACCAATTACGTTAAGATAACGATTAGAGGTAAGCACTACTTAATTAATACTAATGGATTAGATAATCGATCATAAGCTCACCTCAATTGACCATCGAAAATCTTATGATTTTAATACATAAAATACGTTGACTAATGGCCTTAGCCATTCACAAAATGCAAATGCTTCAAATATTAGATGAATAAAATATCAAACCATTGGTTTTAAACGTTAGATGCAAAAGGAAAGGCTGAGATCGGTGATGCCTATTTCTATCTTAGGACTAAAATTTTAACTCAAAGATTGAAGATTAAGGGCATCTCCAACCGAAAACTTCATTTTTCACGGCAAAGTAACGCAAAACTCCAAAATGGCGCGGTGATGCTCCAATCGACGTCATTTTAGGTGTTTTTGAGAAGGTAACGATCGCTCTCCCTTTCGCGTGTTATTCTGGTTGAGAGCAAAAAATGGCGTGAGTGAACAGTGGGACGCCAATATTGGCGTCGCACTGTTCACCTGCGATTAAATGGCGAAAATTTTAGCGTTCGGTTGGAGCGACGGAACGACTCCATACACTCGTTTAGCGTTCGGTTGGAGATGCCCTAAGGATAAAATTTTTTGTACAAAATTTTATTTTAAGAAGCAATAAATTAAAAAGATGTTCCAAACGAAACCTAAGGCTTTATTTGAGACGACTTTCTTACTGCTTCTTAAAGCAGCTTGTCAATATAAAAACTTAAAAATTTTGTACTTGAAAACTACTTAAAGAAGCAGTAAGAATGTCATCCCAAACGAAACCTAAAAAAATATAAAGTGGAAGACTTATAGAATTGGTAGGATATTGAGGACTAAGGCTTTATGTGTACTTATGGCTTTTTTTTAAAGGGTTTATAGGGGAAGTAAACATTGAAGGTTAGGGTTAGGGTTTTTTAATGAGTTCTTGGGGTTTTTTGAGAAATAAGTTTTCATGCATGTATGTAAAATATGATTTCACTAGGAAAAAAGGCGTTGCATGTCATAACATTTGCCGTGATGGAGAGAAATATTTGATGTCTTAGTATTGTATAAAAAATTAACACACACAAATAAAAATGGAGTTGCAATCGAAGAGTTATAACCTTAAGCTTTATATCTAAGTTTCAAAGCAAACTTCAATTAGTGCCCAAATTTAATGCACCAAAATAGGATAAATAATTTATGCTTCGTTGGGAAAAGCTTTATTATTGTTTCTTAAAACAGCTTTTTAGTATAAAAATCTTAAACTTTTTTACTAGAAAACTATTTTAAGAAGCAATAATAATGTCGTTCCAAATGAAGCCTTAATTTTATTTAAATTGAGGGAAATATGAGAAAAAAATAATTTTTTAATTATTTGTTAACTCATTATAAATATATAATTGTTTTTTTATTTTTCTGATTTTTATTTTGTGAAGATGCCAAACTTTTCCAAATAAAAAATATATAAAGAATTTCTCACACCTAATAATAATTAAAATATTTATCTGATTGTCACATCTCAAAAAGTCATGTATCAGATAACAAAAATATCAAATAGATAAATCTACAACTGTAATAAAGCTTATCAGATATATTTTGTTATTTCAAGTTGCAAAAATTTGCTGTGTTTATTATTTAAAAAAAATGTCAAAATGACAAAATTTCTTTACTAAATTATTAATTACAAATAAATCTCACTTTGATTAAAATACTTATATTATTGACATAAAATTTTTCCAAATTATTTAGATATTTCTTATGAATTACTTTCCAATTATATATATATATTATAATATATATATATATATATATATATATATATTATATTTATATATATATTTAATTTTTTAAAATATAAGTTATAAATTATAAATATGTCACTCAAATTTATAATCCTAAAAATACAAAAATCTCCTTTAACAAGGATTTTTTTTTATTTTAAAAGTGATGAAAAATAATATTATTATTATTAAATTGATTAAATCTATATTTATGATATAACTTATAATGATTATACTAATTAATTATCATCTATATATAGTATATCATTCTTAACAAACTCTTCTAATATAAAAAGAGAGTAGGTTGACTTTGGCTCCTAGTACAATAGTCAATGTGAATGAGACCATAATGTACGGTTTTCTTAAAACAAAAATATTATCTTACCTGAGGGAAATTTACAATTATGCCCATTGATTATTATCAAAAATTCAAGTTGCAATAAACAACAAATTGATTTATTATATCATGAAGAGATGATGGTAAATACCGTAATATCAATAGATGGTTCCAATTTCTGGTCGAGATTTATGGTCTAAAATATGACGGCATATCTCGCGTGCGGCGGCGGACTTTTGACTTTTGAGGCCGAGGCTTTGATAAAAAAAAAGGGAATATAATATAAAATTATTATGTATTATTTATATAATAAATAAAATTTTAATGTTTATCATATATAATATTGCATAATAAATATTTCGCTTTTAAAAAAAAATATATTAATATTTTTATTAGAATTAAGATTTGGATGTTATATAAATAAAATATAAAAATTTTAATATTATAAATTTATTTTTTTTATATTATGAATATAATATTTCAAGAAATTTTAGTGATTATTCATTAGACAAAAATTTAGTTAAAATTTATTTAAATTTATTGATTTTTTAATTTATTTAATAATTATATTATCTCAAATTTTAATAATTTAGAGATCTATTTAATTAAAAATCTATATTTCAAAATATTTTCCTAGACATTAATTTTGAGAACCACGTGCCATAAATGTCAATGTCCTCCACATGTGCCAATTAAGTTATATTAATACCAAAGAAAAAAAAATTATAGATAGGTAATATTTTAAGTCACGTGAAAAAAAAGCTAAAAATTAGAAGATAATTACGTGAGATCAGCATATAACACATTTATTTATCTATTTAAAAATATTTTTATATTTTTAATATTTATGTGTGCCTACTTTAACTTTTTTTTTTACTTTTACCGAAACTATAAATTAATTTTAAACATCTATTTTATATTATATATAATGCTCATTTTTTAAATTAAAAGTTAAGATTTAAACTTTTAGAAAAATAATTTATTTAAATTTTTCTATTTTCCAAAAGTATTTATAATTTTTATCATCTATTTTCATCAGGAAATAAATTATATCAAGATATCATGATATAATTTTAATTAAGACGGTCTTTTAAACCGTAAAATATATTTGAAATAAATTCGTGCATAAAAATAAATTTTTAAATCTCGAAATTAATTTAATAATTTTTAATTATATTATTATAAAAAATTATTTCTTAGTATTCTGAATAATTTAAATTAAGATATATATATTAAAATACAACCATTTCTTAGTACTGCGTACCGTACTCCGACATAAGAGCCTTGCTATATATGCCCTACTCTCCTGCTTTGACACCATCAGAAATATCAGAACAAAGAGTTCCTGCCTTTCTTTGTAACTTTCTTTCAACTAAGTGATCCCTCCTCTCCTCTCTTCCTCTCTCTCTCTCTCTCTCTCTCTCTCCTTCTTTCTCTCTCTCTATGAGGATGGAAGGAAGGAAGAAGGGAGCGGCAAGAAAGCAGAATAACAGTGGAATATGGAAGGAGGAAGACTTGAGTGGGATGGAATTGGCTTCCCTTCCAACACATCCCTCCATTAATCTTGCTTGCATCACCCAGCTTAATCTCTCATGCACTAACCTCTCCTTCTCTTTCTATCTCTATCTCTCCTTCTTTCTGTCTCTCTATGAGGATGGAAGGAAGGAAGAAGGGAGCGGCAAGAAAGGAGAATAACAGTGGAATATGGAAGGAGGAAGACTTGAGTGGGATGGAATTGGCTTCCCTTCCAACACATCCCTCCATTAATCTTGCTTGCATCACCAAGCTTAATCTCTCATGCAATAACCTTCAGGTACCTAATCACCCTCTCTTATTCAAGCTTATTTAATTCCACCATATAGCCTTATATCTCATCATATGAGGAAATATTAAACTAAGGAGAAATTTTTCTTATAAACTTGAAGTGATTCATCTTGCAAGAAATTAATATGTTTACTAATTTCAATCAAATGTTTTTTTTTTTTAATTCAGAACTTGCCGGAGTCGGTGACGGCGAGGCTGGTGAACCTGGTGGAGCTGGACCTGCACTCAAACCAGCTTAAAACACTTCCTAATTCAATCGGCTGCCTTTCAAAGCTAAAACGCTTTGATGCTTCTGGCAACTCGCTGGGCTCACTGCCCATAACCATCCAAAACTGCGGGTCAGTTTGAATTTTCAATAACAATTAGTGCAAAACTTATAAATTTTCGTATAAACTGTTAATTAATGAACTAAATACGTTTTCATCTACTACTTTGGCAGGTCATTAGAAGAATTACTAATCAATTTCAACCAACTAACCCAGCTCCCAGACACCATAGGACTCGGCTTAACCAAGCTTCGCCTGCTCTCCATTCACTCAAACAAACTAACTTTCCTTCCTTCCACAACCCACAAACTCTCCTCTCTCCGCTCCCTCGACGCCCATCTCAACACCCTTCTAACCCTCCCCAAAGACCTCCACCTCCTTCCCTTCCTCCATTCCGTCGATATCAGCCAAAACTTCCATCACCTGAACTCCTTGCCTGACTCCATTGGCCTTCTCCCTTCCCTTTCACACCTCAACATCAGCTATAATGGCATAACGACCCTCCCCGACTCCCTCGCCTGCGCAACTGGTCTTCGCAGCCTGAAAGCCGACGGAAACCCGCTGGTTTCTCCGCCGTTGGATGTGGTTGCGAACGGAGTGGATGCGGCGAGAGAGTATCTTATTGGGAGAATGAATGGTGTGGCGGTGAAGGGGAGGCGGAGGAAGGGGTGGATATGGAGAATGGCGAGGTGTGGAATGGTTGAAGGAAGGATAGTTAAGAAGGAAGACGATGATCAGTATGAGGAGGTTTCTCGTGAGTATCATTCAGTTGATGGATTTGGGACGCCTGGGAGAAGGTATATGGAGGCTTTGTCGTCTCCTCTGAAGGCTTTTTCGAGGCAATGGTCTACGCCGGCCACGGCGAAGCCGGCGTGGAAGTAGCCAGCCAGCTCCTTTATATACTGACTTTTGTGTGTGTGATTTTTATTCAAACGATAAACTCTCTCTATTACCAATATTATTATATTTTCGTCGAAATAGGCAGCCAATATTACGTTTTTTGTTTTTTTTATTGTAATGATTAAAAAATAGCTTATGGTGGTGGGCTTTGCGGAATTTCGTCAAGAAACGATTACTAGATGAAATAAAAGCTTTTGGGCCCTAAGTAGCAATAATTTGGCCCAGTTCTGCTACGTATATACAATAATAACAAATTAATTTTCTCAAGAAAATTGATGCCACATATTTGGTGCTATTACAACACTGAAGTAAATATAATTCTAAAATAATTTTTTATAACAAAAAAAAAAAAAAAAGAAACTAGTGAATGTTTGGCAGTAAAAAAATAATGACAAAACAGTCTCCAATAATAAGAAAAAGGCTAAAGAGAATTATGTTTGGTTTGAGACATCTTTCTTCATGCTTCTTCAAGCAGCTTTTTAGTACAAAAATTAGGCTTTTGTACTTAAAAGTTTTTTTAAGAAGCAGTAAGAAAGTCGTCCCAAATGAAACCCCCATATGAACTCTTAAGTTTCATTTGAGATAATTTTCTTTTTTGCTTTATAAGCTACTTTTTAGTACAAAATTTCAGTTTAATAAGTTTTTGTACTAAAAAATTACTTTAAAAAGCAGCAGGAAAGTCGCCCATGCTTCGTTTGGGACAACTTTCTTATTGTTTTCTAAAATAGCTTTCTAGTTTAGTTTAATAAGATTTTATACTAACAAATTTCTTTTAGAAGCATTACGAAGCCATCCCAAATAAAGTCTTCTCCTCTAATTGTATTACTATTCTTTAAAATATTTTTGATCTCAATGCTCTCATATGTTCTTGTTTTTCACCTCTCCAAACCTTTAAAACAAATCCATTAAAGCTTTATGTGGGACATTTTTCTTACAATTTTCTACAGTAACTTTTTTGTACAAAATTTTTTAAAAACAGTAGAAAATTAGTGACAAAAAATTATCCAAAATCAAGTCGAAATAAAAATATGTGTAACTCTCTCAAGAATTATATATATGACGAAGTAATGAACATTCAAAGGAATGTATATATCCTAATATCATTATTCTAGTTTTCACTAATGAAGCTGAAAATGAAACTTTACGGCCCTAATTTCATAGTTGTATCATATAATGACCCTATGCATCCTTCAATAATGTATACCTCATTATTATAATGTCAATTTATGCTAAAATCTATATAAGACAATTCTTCTTACAACAACAATAACAACAACAACAACAACAACAATAATTTTTTATCCCACTATATGGGGTTGAGACTATTGAGTACATGAATCCTTTTTCTCTATTATATTTGAGTCAAATTTTTATTTAAAAGGATAAGAACACTTTTCTTAGGAAAAAAAAAGAGCTATACAGCTTAACAAAAAAGTAATCAAGTAGCGTCAAACAACTAGTAGAAAATATATGACTACAGAGGGCATGGTCGTCGATGCGGCCAATAAGTTGCTGGGTTGAGCTTGAATCATCATAGCTTACATACATATTTCAAAGAATGTGAGCTCACATGTTCACATTTATGCTAATTCATTTGAGACATGCAATTTTTTACAATTATGTTTTTACTACTTAAAAAAAAAACTGCTGCACAAAATAGTAAGATAATTATTTCAAACAAATCCTTAAAATATATAGGCTTAAAAATTTAATTTTAACAAGTGTCATGTTATAGTTAAATTCACTTATTATATATTTGTGATTGCTTTTTCAACTAAAATTTGAATAAAAATAGATCTATGAAATTATTTATTTATTTATTTATTACTTTTGAAGATGACAAATGTTATGCTCTTATAATCTTTATTCCAATTTTCATATCTACCATTTCTATCAAGGTTAATGATAGCATTTTTAGTTGCCAATCTCTTATCTTATAAAAAGTGATAAAAGTAGACTACTTATATCTACAAAAGAATGATAACTACAACACCTTAAAGGTTCTTTAGCTTCCATTACTTTTTTTAGTCATAGCTCACGACCCATACGATGCGGAACATCTTAGTTAAAATTTTTCTTTAAGGAATAATTTATCTAACTTATTACATGTTTGTTACATACTTTCTAGAATGTTCTTGCTAGCTTATATATATAATATTGTAAGAAGAATGAGGAAATGATGAATATTATGATATTTTGGAGCCTTTGAGCTTGTGTTGGTTCCTTAGTTTTGTATCCCTTATAGTGATTTATTTCTTTCGTTGATCCACTGCATCACTATGACTTCGTCAGCTCATTCATCGTCATGGTGTACTAACCTCAATAAGCTTATTTGTTATGGTCTGTAGATATCTGCCATCCCTTAATCCAACTCCCCATTTTTCCCCTTCCACTGTTATGCTCATCGATTTTCTAATGTAATAAAAATATAATGAAACTATCATTAATATATATTTAAATTGTTGATTAAATAAAAAATATATTCAATTGTCATCTAATTAAATACAAAACATTACATCTTTGAATTTATTTTATAATACAATAAATAACTTAAAATATCTAAATAAATTTAAATAAAAAATTCTAAATATTATAACCAAACGGCCTAAAAAGTCAGAAAATTTTAAATAAAATGAATATTCCTTAACATATATTGAGAAAAATGATTAAATGCTCACTTAACGGAGCATTAAAACATATATGACATACATATTCATGCAAATTTAATATTATTTTTTCTCTCCTCTTCATTTACATTTTAGTAATTATGCGGTGAAGATAAAGCGGCTATACCATAAATTAAGCATAATTTCTGACTACTTACAGGCATTAAAATAAAATAAATTGACTGGCCACCGCTAGATTTTGGGAGAGAGAGAAAGCAGGTGAAGAGAGAGAAAAGTTGGGATGGGGGAGAGAGAAATGGCGTGAGAGAGGGGATATTAGATTTTTTATTAAATAAAAATTAGATTTTTTATCTAATAGTTAAATTTCTTTTAAAATGTAGTCATTATTTAATAAAAAATTACTAATATCTCCCACACTCTCTCTCTCACGACGTTTCTCTCTCCCCGCCTCTCCAACCTTTTCACGTATATGCTCATTTTGTATCATATCTCTAAGGGTAAAGCCGCTCATCCACCTAAGCAACATCATCTCTGCAACACTTAATTTAGTATTATGCTTCTCTTTTAATGGCAAACATTCGACACCATAAATCATTGTAGGTCTCACCACCATCTTATAAAATTTTCCCTTAAGTTTGAGTAGCACTTTTATATCGCCCAACAAGCCCAATGTATTCCTCCACTTTAACCATCCAACTTGAATTCTGCTGATAATATCCCCATCTATTCCACCATCTTCTGAACAATAGATCCAAGATATCTAAAACGTGTACTTTTATTAATGACTTTATCTCCCAAAGTCACAATCCCCTAATTAGGTCTATTATTACTAAAATTACACTCCATACATTCAGTTTTAGATCTACTTTAGTGAAAACCTTTAGACTCTAAAACAAAGACTTAATTGTGTTGAGGCTAAATGGGTTAGGTTCGGATTAAACTGTTGTGTATTGTTCCTAGATTTAAGATTGTTTTTTGTATAGTTTTTTGTATGGCATGTATGGTCATTTGTATAGCTATTTGTATAGCTTTAGGAGTCTATTAATAGGAGTCTTTAGGTTGTAATAAGTGGCCAAAAAAGAAATAAAGTTTACAGAGTTTTTGGCTCTCTCTCTTCCTCTCTCCCTCCTCTCTCAAGATCCGGTGGAAGTGCTTCTTCTTCAAGTGAAGGATCTGACATATGGTATCAGAGCCACGATGGTGGCGATCTCAAGGTGGAGGAGGCAGAGGCAGATTTCTTGTCTAAAGAAACGGAAGGAGGTAACATTGGCGGTGGCTTGGTGCCGCGATCAAGCTGGCTTTGTGCATGAAGGCGCGAGCAGGTAATTCCGCTTGTAAGGCCGGAGCAAAGCAAGGCCGCACGCAGGCTGTGTGGGTGAAGCAGGATCAACCCGCGAGTTCTTGATCTCGGATTGGGCGGAGACATGACGATTTTGGGGGAAGCAGTCGTGGAGGATCTTGTTCAGCGTTTGCTGGCTTGAGGCTTGCTCGGAGCAGACGAACGAGAAAGCCAGACTTGGGCTGCTCGATTGGCTCGGGTCAGATCTACTCGGTGGACTATCCGAACGCTCGCAGGCGGAAGGAGGCGTGTGCCTCTTGATTGGCCGGCGGATCTCACGGAGGTTGGAGCTTTTGCTTGAAGGAAGATCTTAAATCAAGAGGAAGCTCGAGAAACTAGCCATTTTTGGTTTGTGTGAAACGGTTGGAGATCAGACCCTCAAACAAAGGTGAAAGGGGCTGTTTTCAGGTAGATTTCACAGGGTCATTCATTTCTTTGATTAAAGATATGTACAATCTTCGAGGTGGAGCTTCCGGCTGAGGTACAAATGATGTGTATTGGAATTAAGTGGAGTCTGGGAGACAATGAGGTGAAGTTAGGCTGTTCTTGAGGAGCAGTGTCGGGAGTGCGGGGCGCTTGGAAGTGCGAAGTCGTGCGGTGCACAAGGAGGTCGCATAGGAGCGCGGGGCACTGGTGACAGACACGCAGGTGCTGACCGGAGGTGGCAGTGCGGAGCGTGAGCTTGTGACGAGCGGAGCGTAGGTGAAGGCGCAGGGCTCGCTGCATGGGTGGATACGTGCAAGATGTGGTTGGAGACAGACCATATGAGTGCAAGGCGCGGGTACGGGCTGGAGGCGTTGGACGCAGGCTAGAAGCGCAGTGCGCGAGCATGAAGCGCAGGGTGCAGGTGGATGCACAGGGCGCAGAAGCCGGGTACAAGGTGCTCTGGTATTGGCTGCGTTGGACGCAGTGCGACAAGTGAAGATCTGTCGGGAGGTGAAGCTAGAAACTCAAGAAGATGGTTGATCAGTTCTTGAGAAACTTTTAATTGTCGGTGGACGCTTTTGGCGGAGGAGATCAGCAGGGTTGTTCTTTGGCTGTTCTTTATGAACAGTGGTTATCCTTTGTTGTATAAATCTATGACCAAGGTGGAGATTGTTGTGTATTGTTC